GCTACTAGGGAGGCTGAGGCAGTAGGATCGCTGAGCCCAGGAGATTGAGGTTGCTGTGAGCCAGGCTGACGCCACGGCACTCACTCTAGCCTGGGCAAGAAAGTGAGACTCTGTCTCAAAAAAAAAAAAAAGTCGGCTCAGTGCAGTGGCTCATGCCTGTAATCCCAGCTCTTTGAAAGGCGGAGGCGGGAGGATCACTTGGAATTCGAGACCAGCCTGTGCAACATAGTGAGACCTAGTTTCTATAAAAAATATAAAAACTTTTCCCAGCGTAATGACACAGGCCTGTAGTCCCAGCTACTCGAGAGGCTGAAGCAGGAGGTTCAGCCCAGGAGTTCAAGGCTGCAATGAGCTATGATGATGCCACTGCACTTCAGCCTGGGCAACAGAGCAAGACCCTGTCTCTTAAAAAAAAAAGTTAACTGTAGGCCGGGCGCGGTGGTTCATGCCTGTAATCCTAGCACTCTGGGAGGCCGAGGTGAGTAGATTGCGCGACGTCAGGAGTTGAAAACCAGCCTGAGCAAGAGCAAGACCCCATCTCTATTATAAATAGAAAGAAATTAATTGGCCAACTAATATATATAGAAAAAATTAGCCGGGCATGGTGGCACATGCCTGTAGTCCCAGCTACTCGGGAGGTTGAGACAGTAGGATTGCTTAAGCCCAGGAGTTTGAGGTTGCTGTGAGCTAGGCTGATGCCACGGCACTCACCGTAGCCTGGGCAACAAAGCAAGACTCTGTCTCAAAAAAAAAAAAAAAAAAAAAAGTAAAACAGCCTCAGGCAGGTCCTTCAGGAGGTATTCCAAAAAAAGGGATTTTTATCATAGGAGATGACAGCTTTATGCATGTTATTGTCCCTGAAGACCTTCCAATGGGACAACACATGGAGGTGGAAATAGTGATATTGATGATTCTGAGGCTATATAGGCCTAGGCTAATGTGTGTGTTTGTATCTTTATTTTTAACAATAAAGTTTAAAAAGTAAAAAATATTTAAAACTAGAGAAAAGCTTATAGAAGAAGGATATAAAGAAAGAAAATATTTTTATATAACTGTACAATGTATTTCAAAAAGTTAAAAAAATTAAAAATTTTATAAAGTAAAAAATTATAGTAAGCTAAGATGAATTTATTATCAAAGAAAGAAAAAACTTTTTATGAATTTACTGTAAAGGTACAGTGTATATGAAATAGGGTGCAGTAATGTCCTAGGCCTTCATAGTCACTCACAATTCAGTCACTGACTCCCATAGAGCAATTTCCAGTCCTGCAAGCTCTATGCAATTGTATCATTTTTTAAATCTTTTTTTACCATATTGTTATTGTATCTTTTCTATGTTTAGATACATGAATACTTACCATTGTGTTACAATTGCCTACAGTATTCAGTACAGGGACATGCTATACAGGTTTGTAGCCTGGGAGCATAGTGTACCATATAGACTAGATATGTAGTAGGCTATTCCTTCTAGGTTTGTGTAAGTATACTCTGATATTCGCCTAACAAAGCATGTCTGAGAATGTATCCCCATCACTAAGTGATTCATGACTATATATTTGCTCTGTAGACCAGTGAAGAAGTAGTGTCTTTGATGAGTTGCCTGAAAGTTCCCAGCCAGTGGCAGAGAAATGTTACTTATAAGTCAAATCCTAATCAGAAATTGCCTGATTCTGTGGACTGGAGAGAGAAGGGGTGTGTTACTGAAGTGAAATACCAGGTGAGTATTATCATCCCAAGCCTCTGCACTCTAGGTAGAGCTCTCGTCTTTAAATGCTTATTCTAGTTATATAATTTGGCAGTGAACCTCACAGTCCCTTATGTTAATTTCTAATTACTTTTGTTATTCTTGTGTTCCCAACTAAATTGCAAGCTCTTTAAGGGAAAGGATCACATATTATACTGTATTATTCAATTGGCCTTCCATATCTGTGGGTTCTGCATCCACAGATTCAACTAACAATGCATTATGGCCGGGCGTGGTGGCTCACACCTGTAATCCTAACACTCTGGGAGGCTGAGGCGGGAGGATCACTCAAGGTCAGGAGTTCGAAACCAGCCTGAGCAAGAGTGAGACCCCTGTCTCTACTAAAAATAGAAAGAAATTAATCGGCCAACTAAAAACATACAGAAAAAATTAGCCAGGCATGGTGGCACATGCCTGTAGTCCCAGCTACTCGGGAGGCTGAGGCAGGAGAATTGCTTGAGCCCAGGAGTTTGAGGTTGCTGTGAACTAGGCTAACGCCACGGCACTTTAGCAGGGGCAACAGAGTGAGACTCTGTCTCAAAAAAAAAACCAAAAAAAAACTAACCATGAATCAAAAATATCTGCAAAAAAACCCACAATGCAACAATTAAAAATATTATAAATTTTTAAAAATAGTATAACAATTATTTATGTAGCATTTACACTGTATTAGATATTACAAGTAATCTAGAGGTGATTTAAAGTATATGGGAGGATGTGTATAGATTATACGCAAATACTACCTCCTTTATAAACTAAGGGACTTAGCATCTGTGAATTTTGGTATCCTTGAGGGTCCTGAAATCAATGCCCTCTGGATACCAAGAGACAACTATATTCCCCACAGTGCTTTTCTGAGTGGTTATAGAGCCACCTTAGACAAAACTGTGACCTAACAAATAGGTCTTTAAGACAGACCGTTTTTGTTTTTTTTTAAGACAGACTTTTAATGCTCATATTATCTATTGGCTGCACTGGACCATCCAGGAAGCCAGTTGCTTGAGAAGCAGTGTCATGTGTGTGAGAGAACCTTGATCAGGAAGTTTCTCTCTCCATCTCACTTATAAATTTCAGGGTTGAAGGAGAGGAAAGAACTAGAGTTACAGTGACCTATACATGGTACCACTCAAGTTAATTCATGGCTAGGCTTGCATTGTTAGAATATGAAATACATGCCCTTCAGGTGTTTCAGCAAAATAAAAAAAAATTAAAAAAAAAGAAGAAAATGAAATATGTGTCTTGTAAAAACAGCTACAAAAGTCCTAAATTAGAGATAACTAAGGTTAAAACACACGTTTCACCTTCGCAGTCAGGGTAAGGGAAAAGAGTCAGAGAATTTGGAGCAGATGCCCCAGCTTGTGACCAATGGAAAAAGTAAACATTTATTAAGAAGTGAATGGTATACTCATGAAGGAAAGTCCAGTAAAAGAGTTTAAAAAAGAAAAGAAAAGTGAATGGTACTGCTAAGCTTTTATTCTTTTCCATCTACATATTTTTCTTTCAACTAATTTTGGGTGTCTTACCCAAGCTTTTCTAAAATAAAAGCTTGAGAAGACCCAATAAACTACATCTTTAGGTGTTAACTGAGTAATTTAATGAGCTCCTTTCCCGGGTGCTTGCATTTTAACAAGCAATTTTGCTTTAACCAAAGGCAATTCCAATTTGCTTGCTTTGGGTGGAGAGAAGGCAGAAGGATGGGAGGAGGGAGGGAGAGGGACCGAGAGAGAGAAAAAACATTTATTATGAGTCTGGACGCTGCACTTTTTAAAACTAAAAGTAGCTTTGTGTTTTGCTGTTTATGCCTTCTTGTGAAATATCTTCTGATCAAAAAATAATGAGGATAACAATGTTTGAAAAATGCTAACCTAGGATTAAAGCTCTTATGTTTCAGGCATCATTTGGCAGGAGGAAGTGCAGTTTAGGTCAAAGAAATCATCCCAGCTCCTCTCAAAACCACTTCACTGTAGGTGTCTATCTCCCTTACTTCTAGGTGAAAATCGGTGGGATTTGGCACATGCTCAGTGAGTACTATTTGTTAATATATTTGAAGATGATCATTATGCTCTGAGTTTTGCCATTTGCAAATCTCCATCAAGGTTAGACCTTGCCTAGAGAACAATCAAGTATTTAGTCTTCATTCCCATTGTCTAAGAGTGAAGGAAATTGTAATGGGAGAGCTTTTCCTGGAACTAGTGACAGGCCTGACATAGTTGGGAGTTGTCTAGTTTGTGTTATGGAAGTCATCCCTACTGATTTTCTATGATTGCCTTTGTGACCCTATGTCTGTTTTAGGGTTCTTGTGGTTCTTGCTGGGCTTTCAGTGCTGTGGGGGCCCTGGAAGGACAGCTGAAGCTGATGACAGGAAAGCTGGTATCTCTCAGTGCACAGAACCTGGTGGATTGCTCAACTGAAAAATACAGGAATAAAGGCTGCAATGGTGGCTTCATGACAGAGGCTTTCCAATACATCATTGATAACAACGGCATAGACTCAGAAGCTTCCTATCCTTACAAAGCAACGGTGTGTCTCAAGCAAACTTTTTGTGCTGCCCTATGACTTCATGCTACACGCTGACTGGCTACACTGAACTGGACACCAGGGCAGTTACTTGAGAGTCAGTGTTGTATGTGTGAGACAATCCCAATCAGGAATTCCTAAATTCTCAAGAGGTCTCTTTCTTATCCAATAGTTCTCTTAATGTATCAGTAGTGCAATGTTTTTAAACAAGCAAGTAGCATTCATGCTGAAAAACAGGCTTTAAGCAAACTATCCTTAAAATTCTTTCTGTAGGCCGGGCCCAGTAGCTCATCCCTGTAATCCTAGCACTCTGGGAGGCCACGGCGGAAGGATCAGTTGAGCTCAGGAGTTTGAGATCAGCCTGAGCAAGAGCAAGACCCTGTCTCTACTAAAAAAATAGAAAGAAATTAGCTGGACAACTAAAAAAAAAAAAAATATATATATATATATATAATTAGCCGGGCATGGTGGCGCATGCCTGTAGTCCCAGCTACTCGGGAGGCTGAGGCAGGAGAATTGTTTGAGCCCAGGAGTTTGAGGTTGCTGTGAGCTAGGCTGACGCCACGGCACTCTAGCCCGCGCAACAGAGACTCTGTCTCAAAAAAAAATTTTTTTTGTATATCTGCCTGGTATTTAAACTTTTTTCTCCTGCAGCCTCCCATGATCAATCTTATTCTCTGATCATCAACCGCATCATCCTTCCACCTATTAATAAGCTAAATAATGCTTTCCTCCTCTTCGCAAGTTCATTACACATTTTGTTAAATGATATAAGTATTATGCCCATATTACAGAAAATTTAGAAAAGATAAAATATTCAAAAACCTTCTACCTTAACCACTATTATTTTGGTTTATTTCTTGCAAGTTCTTTTCCCATTGAACATCTAAAAACCATAGCTGTATATACAACAAACATGAGTTTGTAACCTCTCTTTTCCCACTTGACATATTAATATGAATGTTTCCTATTTTATATGGTATTTGTAAACCGTCATTTTAATGGCAGGTCATCTTGCAGGCTTTATGTGTTCAGAAAGATTTTAAATCTCTGATTTTATGATCTCTATGTCATAGACCCATAGACTTTATGATCTCTATGTCATAGACCCCTGCAAGCCCCCTCAGAGTCTGAAAGGACATTGTTCTGGCCAGTTTTCTTTTTTCTTTCTTTTTTTTTTTTTTTTTTT